GCATAAAAAGTATTCTGGTAGCTTCGCAGTTGAGCCACTGATGTCACATGGACTGTTTTACCGATGTCCTTGCTATGCTTCTGGGACTAGGAACATTGCAGTTGCATTGCTGTCTATGGAGGGTCAGAGAGCTCTCAGATTTCATCAAAAAATATCTTAATTTTTGTTCCAAAGATGAACAAAGGTCTTACGGGTTTGGAACGACATGAGGGTGAGTAATTAATGGCAGAATTAAAATTTTTGGGTAAATTAACCCTTTAAAATGAGCAATTATTTTCTCAAATTCAACATGTTTCAGTTAACGCATTAAGCTCCTTAAAAGCTAATTCAGTATAAGATACGGTTAAAGTGACATACATGAGATTTGGTGTCGATGATGAAGATGTGGGAGTAATTAAGACAGTGTAGTGCTATAGCTGATGTTCACACATTCATTCAGGACTCATCGCACTAAAAGGTCATTTCAAACCACACTGTATTCTGTCAATCTAAATTCATAAGATGCCATAACCACCTGAGGCACCTTGCCACCACAGGCATTAACCAGCTTATATCGCTCGGGGGATGCTGTGACGCCTATAAATATCGGTTACAGGCTACCAACGACCGGGCCGTGCATCCATCATAAATTTCCTTAGTTTTGTGCGACATTACAGGTGGTGATAAATCATTAAATGTGCTAAATTATTCCCTCAGTGCTGCTGTTCTATATTCCCGATATGCTCCGTATTCTATAATGAGACAAAGGTGGAGCAAAAATATGAGCAATTGAGCCGTTTGACTGAAGGATCTTTCAATGCCCTCTGTCATGAAATGCAGCATTATGGAGTGTGGTGAGATCTCTATCCAGGTGGTGCCACTGTCAACATTAGCAGTACATTATGCATGTGTGTATGGGTGTGTGTTTGTTTAGTGAGGTTAGGAAACGGTGAATTAATTCCTTTGCAGGTAATTATAATGTTGTCATTGTTTTGTTTTTTAACGGGGAGTGAAGTCATGTCAGTAAAGGTCTCTGCTGATAATTTGCACGCTCCATAGACCTGCCAACCGGCCTGTAAAAAGTGGCATGTCACATTCTGGTAACCTCTTTGCCCCCAATCTTTGCACTACATGCCATGGCAAATACCCTTCCACTACTGGAGGAACCCACCACCCTCAGCCCTCGCGTGCCCCACACACACACTAACACACCCTCCCAGATCTACAACGTAATAACCTTTTAAAAGTCACACCATATTCAGTTTTTCCTCAATTGTTTAGCCATTCTATTACACTAACACTTTAAAACTAGGGTTTAAAAAAAAAAAAATTTATGCCAAAGACCAGTGTTGGGTGTAACGCATTACAAGTAACGCGAGTTATGTAATCAGATTACTTTTTTCAAGTAACTAGTAAAGTAACGCATTACTTTTTAATTTACAAGAGAATATCTGAGTTAATTTTTCAAATGCGTAACGCAAGTTACTTTTTTTCCAATTCACTGATTGACAGCTCTCCTGTCTCCATGTTGAGAGAAATCAGAAGATGTCACTGTGGTTCTAAAATAAATATGAATATGCATTAATTCATCTCACTCAACAACAAACCCTCCCCCCCCCAAAAAAAACACAGATTCAGTATTCCTCAAAATGAATAAAAATAATGCAACTCAGAAGATGACGCAAACCTGCAATAATGAAATGTTAAACAACACAAATATCCTTTATGTAAGGTAGCTACAGAATATATTTTCAGACCAGTGTTATTTTAGTTTCACTGACATAGTATTATAGTTTTGATGAATATTTTTGAATTTTAAAGTTTTAATAAATTTTTGTTGGGTTTTTGTTGTCATTTTAGCAGTTTCTGTCTATATAGTTTTTTATCGATTTTATTTCAGTTTTAGTTTGTAGTTAGTTATCATTTGTTTTAGTTATTTGCATCGTTAAATTAAATAAAATGAGAAAAGTTTCCTGGGCTGAAATAATTTTTATTTATTTTATTTTATTTTATTTCAATTAACATGTTTTACTTAAAGTAATGAAAATGACTATTTTATTTGTTTTTTTAATTCACTATAATAACCCTGTTTTAGGCTCATTTATGCAAGATTTATAGCTCTTTAAGAATTAATTATTATTAATAATAATAACAATAATAATAATGATGAATAATTAACTAAATATATAACAATGAATTTAATTCCTTATAGTACAGAAATGCGCTATGTTACAGAATATGAAACTATATGTTTTCCTGTTTTTTGTAGCAACAGAAAAACTGTATTTGTTTTACAATGCTAATCTATCTTCCTCTATTTGTATGTATAGCTATACATATGAAGGCCAAATTTAGGAAAATGTCATTATAAATGTAGTAAAACATGTTAAAAAGTGAATTGTCAGAACATTTAAAGCAGTTCTCACTATATGAAAGGCTCATAAATGTCTGTGTGTGCCCAAATGTGGACAACATAAAGACTGTACAAATGATCTCCCGCTAAAACATGCAAACGAGTGTCTGGCTTTACTAAACATCTCTCTGTGGCAGGTTCCTCATTGTTAGCTCGTGTTTTGCACACCTAATAAATAGCACAGCCCACAATCAGCTTTAACCTGTCGCTACTTCACGGCACAGCTGTTTTAAGTGATGAGGAAAAAAAGCTGTTTCAAGGAGAGAGGCCTCACAGGTAAGTTATGACTCTTTCCAGCAAGCTGTAAATTGCCTTTTTTGTTGTTTCTATCTTTTCTCTGTCACTAAGGGAAAATAATCTGCAGGGCTGTGGAGTAATTCTACATGGATGGGTTTCTTATTACCGCGACTGGAGAGGCTGGGCCTTGGAGATGACAGCCCAGTGAGGCAGCAGGCGAGCGGAGAGAAACAGTGAAAGCAATGAGGCATCAGTCAGCAGCTTTACTGCTCGCTCTGAGATAAACACCCAACAAATAAATAAATTAATGCAAGAGAGGCCTGTAAATATGAGTGTCTAGCAGCTGGGTGCATGACAGAGCGATACAGGGGTGAAACGCTCACATGTGTGCGCACACACTCATACACACACATACACACACGCACACACACACACACACACACACACACGTGAGCTCATAGTAAAGTTCAACCAACCCTTTTCCGATCACTAGAGGGCACTTAAGCTACACACATCTTGGGTTTGTACAAAGACACCTTTTAGCTGTGGAATTCTTTATATAGAGCGGCTTTCAACCTCAGATTTAGATATGAATCTGCACAGAGCACCAAAAAATAAATAAATCAAAATAAATATCCACAGTTTCCCAAAAGCTCTCTGGTTCTGAATTGATTGACAAAGTATCATCTAACAAAAAGGTGTTGATTTAGGGTCTTTCATCTCCGCCCCGTCTAAAAATCTGTGATTAACATAGCCATGAATTCTTCAGTAATCACTGAATGTACTTTATAATTAAATATTATTCATCCTTCTAGTCAGTGCTGAAACAGGTCAGATCGGACATGTTTGAAATATTAGGTATTTTAAGTCAGCTGAACATGATTCAAACTCCTATCCTCTTCCAATTAAGGGAATAATTACTACCTAAATGAGTCCATGTGGGACTAAAATCCTAGAATTGTCCCTAATCTTACTAATGGATTGGACACCTGTTGGTGTTGGCACAGAAGTGGATACACTGCATCCACATCGACACAACTCAATGACAAGAGCGTTTCGGCACACTTCTGTTGGCCGGCCGACATCTCTTGCGTGTCTAACAGCCAAACGGGTCAACAAAACCTCGCTCTCTGATAATGATTCCTAGAATAATTAAGAGATCAATGAGTGAGCATTGCTCGCGGTAAATAAGGGGATGGAGTTGTACGACCAGCATGCAGCTTAAACGCAGGGAAGAGAGCCAAGCTTCAATAGAGTGACATTATCACCCCAGCCTTCATTATTGAACCATGACGCCACCCCAGTATGTTGCTCGGTGCACCTACATTGGAGAGACAATTTCAGAAAGTGAGACAGCAGAACAAGTCATTGGCTTTTGTCTACTGAGCTGCAGCATTGATTCGAGAAAATCGGGTCTTTACACCAGCCATATGTTCCTCATGAGGGGGAAAATTCAATGAGAGTGGAGTTCCAATCGTTCTAAGCGGAGCATGAGCCTTCAGGGAAGATGCATAGTGACCAGGCTGTTTGTTCGTCACTGAACAAACCAACTCACAAACAACCTATAACCAACAGGAACCAGCTCCTTTTCAAAGCCTCTCTGTCAATAAAGCAACCTGTGGTTCCTGTATATAAACACCCAGAAATGAATCAGTTCACCATGAGAGAGAACAAATTTGTAGAGGCGAAACAAAATAAGAAGTTCGTCCTTCATCATTTTATCTTCCCTTCCTCCTTCAGAGGCTTCAGGGTCAGAGATACCCGAGGAGAAACAGAGAGAAATAGAAGTGTACAAGGTGGTCTACAAAAACTGAAGAATGCTATCTGTTAGTATTCCCATTGAACCCAATCCTTCAATATAGGATTTTGAGACGTGATGTGAAAGGCGGCAGACAGGGCATTACAATATATAAACAGATACATATATACCATTCAAAAGTTTGAGGTCGGCAAGATATTATGTTTTTGAAAGAACATTCTTATGCATAACAAGACTGCATTTATTTGATCACAAACAGTAATATTGTAAAATATTATTACAAATTAAAATACCTGCTTTCTATTCTAATATATTCTCAAATTAAAAAAATTTCATCAGTCATTACTCCAGTTTTTAGTGTCACATGATTCATTACAAATCACCCTAACATGCAAATAAGCTGACGTTTCTATATATGCTGCTTAATATTTTTGTGGAAATCACAATATTATATAGTGAATTAAGCATTCAATTTTGAAGTAAAAGACTTGAGCAATATTTTCTTGTAATACATACTCCAATAATATTTTATTTACTTTGAACTTCAAATTCCAAACATATTTTTTAGAGTGTAGTGTTACATTATCAGGTGAAGGAGGAATGAAAGGATACAGCCATCCTCAGTGTACGGCACAGGTGAGGTGCTTCCTGCTGTCAGGTAGCTGTAGAAGGAGACCTCCAGTGTGTAGCAGTATTATGTGTCATCCAGCAGACCACCCAGGAACCGTCGGCCGGTACCAGCCTTGACCACATCACGGTTAAACGATGTACTGGACTGGAGAAGACACACGAAGACATAACACAACAGAATGATTAATCACAGTAAAACACAGAGAATAGAAACAAACAAAGAGACATACTTGGAAGCAGGGTTGTGTTGGTTGCTTTGAGTAAGGAAACCACAGAAAACATTGCTGTGATTGGCTGATAACCCTTTCAGTGCCCACCTATTTGCATGAATGGGTAAAACTAGTGAAAATGGATAGAGTAAACAGCTCACCTACTCAGAAATCACTATGTTTGATTTTGTCTGAATATAAATGAACTTGAAATTACTTAGGGGGGAAAAAATCTGAGAATGAGTGTTTTTTTAGTGAGCACACAGCTCGGTTAAATTAAAAGGGCATCTCTTCCATACCTGCAATGATTATGACACCTGCAGTGTTTACTGAGGATTTGTTGACTAATGGTCTGAAAAGACGTGACTATAAATAATAGATGAACAACCGTCAGTATTAACAAATAAAAGCACAAAATATGCTTGTTACTATTTTTGTATATAGCCATTATTTTTGAAGCAATGTAAAAAGTGTTATATAATGTTATTTCAGAAGGGAAGCACACAGGGAAATAAATCAATAAATAAACAAAAATGCTAAATTAAATAAAAGATGACCGATATATACTGTATCTAAGAACTTCATTTGGAGTTGTATCTCGGCCAAATATTGTCCTATCTTAACAAACCATACATTAATGAAAAGCTTATTTATTCAGCTTTTCAGGTGATGTATAAAGCCAATTTCGATGACTGGTTTTGTGGTCCAGGGTCACATTTGCTCAAAATTTCACTTTGGTTCACCAAGGAAAGATGAAGATTGTAAAAGTTTTAAGGTTTAAAACACTACACAAAACATGACTCTCAGAAAACTCAAAAGTATTGCTCATGTATTGTCTTTTATGAGGTGAAGATCTCCAGACCAGAACAATGCAAGAACTTGCTTTGTTGTTCTGACAGGCAGAAATCAACAGATATAATCATCACAGAAAATAAAGTATGTGCAAAATTTTCTAGGAGCCATGAGTCGCATGTCACTGAATTTCAGCTTTTGGGTGAGCTGTTCCTTACAAATAAATGACAAGTTAGTTTGAACAAAACAACACAGATATAGTACCACAGATGTAGTAAAACCAATCAAACGTTGGCGAACTGACTAAACAACAGTACAAGTAAAAACACTTTTGTATTTTGATGAAATACATAAAAGTCGTACAGTCAGTTATTCAAGGAGACTCACCGTGCAGGTTCTGAAAAAGCCAAACACACAGGAAGGACAGTGGAATGGCTCGGTGTGTAATTCCTATAAAACAAAAAAAAATTGAAGAGTGTACTGTTGACTGTGAAGTTACCTCAACAAACATGATTTTAAATATTCCAATTAGACATATATACACAAGTTAACGTGTTCACATCTTTAATGCAACCAGAATAAAAAAATAGCAAAAAAACTAAATATCAAATAGTCAAAATATCAAATAGCAAAAACAAAGTGGACTACTTTCAGTGACAGAATGTGTAATTTTGAAAAAGTCTTTACCATTCAGTGATGTGGCTCTGTTGAAATGCTTATCTCTAAAAGTAAATAGAAAGATATCAAGAACACAGTACTGACTGTATTTCCACAGTGGGTCATTTAGTCTTTTAAACTATCTTGTCAAAACAATTAGTTGCTAATTATATATGTAGCCATGTACTCTCAATGACTTGAGCGAGCAGGAGCCTAAAAAAAACTATAAGTTAAATGAATAACCTGGCAAATTAATGTAGCATTATTGCATTGACTAGGCTAGATTTGACAATAGATATGTATGACATTTAAAGTGTTAAATAGTTACACTGGCCTGGTGGATTTATGCACGGTGATTTATCTACTTGCTGAGTTTATTCACATAGTTATAATTGCATAATACTTAATCATCGTCTTAAATACAAAAATACAACGTTTTGAAAATAGCTACATAAAATCGTTGAAAAAGGACATTATACATTAAACAGTGTAAAACGGCCAGCAACACACACACACACACACACACACACACACACACTCACATTCACATTCACATTCACATACACATACACATACACACATATAGATAGATAGATAGATAGATAGATAGATAGATAGATAGATAGATAGATAGATAGATAGATAGATAGATAGATAGATAGATAGATAGATAGATAGATAGATAAAAAACATAGCACAATTACTAGCCTGAAAAGATTTCATCACAAACCGATTTTATCATACACTAGGCACAGAGTTGTCACGAGAAAGAAGATATTGATTGGATTTAGGAAACTATTTATGGATCGCATTGGATTGGCCTAATAATTTATGCCACTTTGTACATTACAGAAGTACTTAAGTATGCTGGCAACTTTTCTCTGCTCTCCACTTTTCCTGCAGTTGTGTGCTTGCTTACACTGCACTCTTCGTACCTTTCCATGGCTCAGCTATAATGGCTGGTAAATGTTTGCTTTTGCCCAAGAAAGGTGACTGATCTAGTGTCAGTGTGATGTGTAGCTGGTGGCTATAAGCGCAGTTGAGACATGATTCTCTCCAGAGGCAACTCTCCCTCAATATGCTGGACGAACTTTGGGATGGTTGTGTGCTGAATAGGCAGAGAGGGGGGGCAACATGCCAGCTGGAGACTTGCCCTCTATGCCCTCCTGTCACCACACACACACACATACACACACACACACACACACACACACACACACACACACACACACACACACACA